GCTATCGTCATCCTCAAGAGAAAGAGGGCAGCGGAGGGAAGTTGGTGCGGAGTCTGCATAGTATGAAAAATGAAAAGCGTGCGAATTTGTTTTTGCCAAAAAAGAAAAGTTTGGGATGGTCTAAAATCGATCGCTGGATTCGAGTCCCATGAACGTTCGCCAATTAGTCTGGTCGACCTCCACCTGCTGATATTACCTCCGTCTCATAACTTGCTAAGAATTTCCTAGGATTGGATAGCAACATTCAGGGCTTGTAGTTGGGTGACCAAAGGTACTCTTGAAGATACCGCGAGAGCTGTGAGGTGCAGTCATACATAGGAAGATATATGTTCGTAGCCGGTCTTCGAGGGTGCAGGTGAACGAACCCTTCGTAGTCCTCTTCTGGCCGGGTCGTCGAGGTTGTTTGCATGTTGGAGTTATTGAATTTCCTTGTGGAGCATGTTTCTTGTATGTTTGACTTCTCTGAATGAATTGTGCAGTCTCTCTACAATGTTCCTGACTACAGCCTCTTGCAATAGTTGTTGCTTTTGCTGCTCGAGATTTTCGATTTCATCGTTGTGTGATTCTAGCTTCTTGAGGGCCTTGGCATGCACGTGGGTTTGTGAGTCTTTGTCTTTGTCTTCCCTTGGAGGGACATCTTTGAGTTATCCTTCAGGGGTTCAGGCTTGCAGACAGCCTACCTCGGTGTTATCGGGTCGAGGGTCCATCGCTGTTGTGGCTTCCTTTGCGGTCTCGGCCGTTTTCGATGATTCTACTACCTCCGCTCCCATATTCACATTCTTCCTTGGGCCATAGGAAAGTTCGAGCGACAACTACGGGTGGGCGCCAATGTTGTTCTAGACCGAAGTCTTTGAACACAGGGGAGCCATTGAACTACCAAGATCACAAGGCTGGCGAAGCGAGAGCGAAAGTTATGCGAAGAGTGAATATCAAAGCTGGATGCTGTAATGGAAGGATCACTATTCATCATCATTTACACTATTGCTTGGAGGGAAGTACTATTTATAGGCTGCCACCCGCCACCCCGCTGCTAGCATAGTAGGGTCTCATCGAAGCTCCGCAGCCTCCCTCTTCCCCTCCCCCCTTCGCCGTCGCTTACTTCTCCAACTCCAGCGAACGGCTGCGACACCCTAGCCCCGACCTAGCCCGGCTACCTCCACCGCCGCTAGGGCCCCTAAACCGCCCTCCACCATCCCCACGGCCTGGCGGACCTTCCTTCTCCCCAAACTTTCCCTTTTGAAGCCCACCGAAGTTGTGCAAGATGAGAGGGAGAGCTCACCGGAACCCTGACTCTTAGATCCAGAAGGAGGAGGAGGAGGACATACCTCGCCATATCCACCATGGCTACCGCTAGATCCGCCATGGTCGTCGCCAGATCCGCTCAAAGCCTCCATGCCGACACTAGATCCGCTCATCGGAGTTGGGGAGGTCGTCGGATCTGGGGTGGGACGCGGGGAGGAGCTCGTAGGGAGCGTCTAGCACCAAGGAGTGAGAGAGAGAGAGGGGGGGAGAGAGGTGCGGTCGACAGGCATCGAAGAGAGAGAGAGGTGCGGGTGTGGAGATGGGAAGCACGTGCGGGCGTGTCGCCTAAAGGGTATCCTCATCTCAGGCAACTGAGATGTAGGAAATGAGAATAATATAACTTGCAGCTCTAAAAATTACACAACTCGTATTTGGTAACCTCGTGTATGGGTTTTTGCTTGGCTGATAAACCAGGCTGACAAGTACTGTTGGCCGATTTGTTGTGAGAAAAAAAAACACTGTTCATTTGCTGAAAAAATACGGCTCATAAGACAAGCGAACAGTTGGTTAATTATATGTTGACACACTAGATAATCTTCTAAAGAACACCACGGTGATGGAGGGAGGGAGGAGGCCCTTTTTGTTGCCCAAGCCCTGAACGAAACTGAAATAGTAGGTGATCCAGTAGATTGATTAGAACATCTCCAACAATGCCCCCTACTTAACCCCTTACTCTGCATTTGGGTAGTGGGGGTCAAAAAAATAGCTCCAGCAGACCCCCTACTTTTGTTGCCCCCTACTTTCCCCCCAAAACCCCCTACTTGTGTTGGCCCCCTACACCACTCCCCCTACTTTTTTCACGTTTCTTCTCTGCTGGATGCACGACTCCGCTCGACTCCGCGTTCAACGGCGCCTCTGCCCCGACCGTCCAGCCCTAGGCACGACCACTGCATGACGAGGCAGCCCTGCCCTAGGCGTGGCCCCGACGCCGGCGGCCCTGCCCTAGGCGCGGCCGGCACCGGTGGCACGGCCTGCCCCGCCCGGCGCCCCTCACCGGATTCTACCTTTTTCCATTTGAAATTCAAATTTAACGCAATGAGTTTTTGGTGCACCCATCAGGCCATCACCCAAAGAAACACAAAATTTACATCACTAAACAGGAGTAAATTAATGCGATATTTGCACTGCGATGACGAGCTTCAAACGCATGCACAAAGTTTCCATTCCAGGCGTAGCAGTAGTGCTGGCGAGTGGCGATCGAAAAAAAGATGAGGCCAGTAGTTTCACTTCCGCAATCTGAAATCTTGCGCGCGCCGCCATCAATCACGCGTTTGGACATTGAAAGAGATAACTAGCTGCTGGAGTGCTGGCTGGCTGTTGGCAAAGTGAGCGAAAGGAAATGGAGAGTAAGGCCCTCTCTGGCAGGGCTCTTCCTGGTTCTAGCTTCATGCTATAGTGCCAGAGGAGCCGAAGCCAGAGAAGTTAGAAAACGTGGTTTTTTCAGGCTCCTAGTTTATTTTGTGAGGAGGAAAAAAAACAGAAAACGTGGTTTTTTTCAGGCTCCTAGTTTATTTTGTGAGGAGGAAAAAAACCCGGCTCAGCTGGTTTAGAGGAGCGAAAGCCCTAGAAGCCTAGACAAACACGATCTAAATATGCCCGCGGTGTGCGTGCGTGACTGACATGGGCATGCAGTGGAGTGGACCAACGGTGCCTTCCACTTCCACATCGTCAGGGCTGTTGTGGCTATCATGCAGGCCAACCGCCCAAGTAGCTAGCGCGCCTCATCATGACGTGACCCCCCGTGGTCGCCCTCATCATTCGCCCCTCACGCACCGTACGTCCGTCCTCGACATGCATCTCGATCGCAAGAGGCGGCCAGCCGGCGGGCTCTGAGATGGTGCGTGCACATCATCGCGGTACTATTGCTATGCTACCAACGACGCCAACTGATGAGGGAGTAGAAAACGGGCATGTTCGTTGGTTGGTGCTGGTGCTGGTTTAGGTTGATTGGTGTTGGTTTTTTATGAGAGAAAAATACTGTTGGTTAGCTAATTTGAGCTGACTGAAATCAACAAGCGAACAGAGCTGACAAAGATCTGGCTGCGCGCACGATGGCCTGCCGGGCATGCATTGCATGGCATGTGTATATCTCCTCATCATTGTCGCCCGATACGCATCCATGTCGTTGATACGTACCAACCGAGAACAATGATCAGTATATATCGCTGCACGTATACCGATCGCGCTTGTTCGTTCGTTCGTTAGGCTCCCCTCCCCTGACTACTGACTGTCGAAAAAATATGCAAGATACGTGTCCTTGTACTTGCACACAGACGATCTTCATCAGTTTATCCAACTAATAAATGGTCGATCGGATGATGGAGAGAGATCCACGTCACGTCGATGTCTGATGCATGCAATGTATGTGTGCATGCAACGCGCCGGAAAGATGCGCGAGAGAGATGGCCTTGGACCGTTCGGCTGGTATGGTTCCAGATCAGCTTATTCTCTCTCACAGAATACTATTTAATCATCAAAACCATCCGAAATTTACTGTTTACCGGACCATCCGAACACAGTAATAATGGAAGAAGGCGGCCGGCCGGGCACACCGCACACGGCACCGGATAGATGTCACGGACCCGGCACTGTACGGTGGGACTACGTACCCGGGAGCGACGGCCGGACGGCCGGCGCCCTCCTGCCGCAGGCCCGCAGCTAGCGAAGCGGCCGCGACAGCTCTCCTACTACTCCTGGTACGTACTGGCAGCAGGCCGGCAGACTGATCGGCGTGCGTGCGTTGCGTCCTTCCGGTCACGGCCTCGCTCTCGGCTCCCCGTCGTTTCGCGGCCGTCCGGTCCGCGGCGGCAGGATACGACGAGCGAACCGAACGTGCCCGCACACCGCTCGAGCGAGCAGCTAGCGCAGGTTGCCTGCCTGCTATCATCAACGCGCTGTAGTCGCGTACCCTTTCCTTCCTACGCCTGGGACATTGACGGATGAGCGGCCGACCAGCATTGCGCGCCAGCGCCACGTCCTGTCCGAGTCCGATGGCCCCACATGTCAACGAGAGCGCCACAGACACGGCTTGGCAGCTAGCAGGGCTAAGCAAGCTGGCCGGAGAACCAAGTCTCTGCCACTGCCACTGCGCGCGGCTAGCCAGCGGATACGAACCGGCAAGGCTGCATCGACCGGGGCCTCGGGGGTGGGGTGGTGGTGGCTGGGGTCCTGGCCTCCTGGGTGCGTGCCGAGTGGGAGCTGGCCCGGGCGCACGGGGAAACGGGACAAAACGCGCGTGCGCGGGGGCGCCATGAGAGCCGACCGGCACGGCGTCCGGGGCCCCCCGCCCGTGGCTGCCGCCTCTCCATGCCGCCCCCGGCCATCCACATCCGCCGCGCTCCGTGATTTCTGCTCGCTTCGCTTCAATCTCCCCGGCCGGCAGCGCGCCTGCCACTGCTGGTCTGGACGCTGGAACCACACGCTTTGCACTGTAATATGTCCATGGCACGGCCAAGGGAAGGTCTCTTTTAACAGGATCGATCCATCATGTTGGGAGAGAAACCAGTAAAACGAGAAGCTGCAAAATCTTTATTGGCCAGATACGTAACCACGATCCCTACAGCGAGCCTGATTGGTCCATGCTCCGGTCTTCAAGAGCGTACGTACGTACGTACGTCGTGCTACTCTATGTACACTTCATCGTCACCAATGCATGCTGCCGTACGTTCAAACGATGGAGATCGACGCCAATGAACGACCTAGAAGTACTCGAAGCGCTCGTCGGACCGGGGGTTGTAGTTGTACGGCTCCTGCCGCTCCTTCCTGCTCATCATCAGCACCTTCTTCTGCGCCGGCGCGGGCGCCGGCACCACCAGCGGCTTGGGCACCTCGGGGGGCCGGACGGACCTGACGAGCGCCCAGTTCACGCCCTTGAAGAAGTCGTGCCTCTTCACCTCGGCCGACCCCGTGCAGCCGCCCAGCCGCTTCTTGGGGTTCTTGGCCAGGAGCTGGGTCATGAGGTCCTGCGCCCGCAGGTGCTCGTCCCACTCCCTGCCGCTGGCCGCCGCGACACGCGGGAAGGCCAGCGGCTGCTTGATGATGTTGACCAGCGTCTTCTCGTTGTTCTCGCCCTTGAACGGCGTCCGCCCGTATATCATCTCGTACATGAACACCCCCAGGGTCCACCAGTCGACGGCGCTGCCGTGGCCCTGCCCGGAGATCACCTCCGGCGCCAGGTACTCGTGAGTGCCCACGAACGACTTGGACCGCGCCGACACGGGCTCCACCACCAGCTCCGGGTTGCTGTCACCGGGCTCCGACATCCTGTCGTCGGTGCTGTCCGCCTCGCGGCCATCGTGGCCGGGCTTTGCCGGCGCGCCCTCCTTTGCTTGGCACTTGTGCACGCCGTTGAACAGGCACGACAGCACCGGCTGGATCGGTGGCACGCAGGACGGCTTCCCGGCGTCTGCTCGCCTGCCACCTGCAGCGCTGACATTGTGGAGGAGGCTGTTGTGCCGGAGCAGCCTCGGGACGACGTCGCACTTGAGGGAGAGGTCGAAGTCCGAGAGCATGATGTGGCCGTCGCCGCGCACCAGGACGTTCTCCGGCTTCAGGTCCCTGTACACCACCCCCATCATGTGCAGGTACTCCAGGGCTAGCACCGTCTCAGCCACATAGAACCTGCCATCATTCGAATTGCCAACGATATCAGTTCACTGTCAGACAATGATACATAATCCGCTGTACTTTTCTTCTTTTTGCACAAAGATAACCGCGCCTTTAATATAAATTGCATTCAACAGTGATTTGGAGAGGATAAACATCGCCAGCTTGTGCACACAAATACAGTGGATCTATCAGCATACATGTTGCTATACATGCAGCTCAAATCATTAGCTTAGTTAAAGCCCTAGTTGTTCCAACAGATCTGCTTGGAAAGATTGACACGGCAAGACAAAAAGAGCCTGTTGAAAGCTATAGCACCGATGCACATGAAAAGAGGATCACTAGCCTAAAGCGTCATGCTTTTACAAAAGAGACACTGAAATAAACAAAACTTGACCCTGAAACAGAACTTTGCTTACCAAGCCCAGTTTCAGATGTGATGAGAACAAAAATGCTCATGTGGAACGTACAGTACCTCGCCGAGGAGATGCTGAATCGACTGCCGGGCTGCCGCTGCCGGGCAACATGCAAGTCCCCGCCGGGGCAGAACTCCATGACGAGGCAGGCGTAGTGCGACGCCTCGAAGTCGGCGTACAATGTCGGCAGGAAGGGGTGGTCGAGCGTGCGAAGGATCTCACGCTCCACCTCCGCTCGCCGAAGCTTCTTGCGGAACGCCAGCGCGTCTTTGTCCACCACCTTCATGGCATACAGGCACCCCGTCGACCACGGCTCGCGCAGCTGGCAGAGGTAGACGTTCCCCAGGTCGCCGCTGCCCAGACGCCGCACCAGGCGGAAGTGCTCCAGACCGACGCGGCCTGCGGTAGCACGGACGCGCCTGATGGCCTCCCACTCGGCTTGGTTCGCCTTGTGAGGCTTGTGGCGGCATGACGCGGCTGGTGTATCCCAGCCTCGGCCGAAGGAGCGCACTGAGACCGAGCTGGAGCTGCCAATGTCACTGATCCAGCTCCGGCGGGAGCCTGGTGCCGTGAGCGAGGACCGGCTGCTGTCGTAGTCGGACTCTTCTCTGATGGTAGCCATTGAGGCACCAAGACAGGAAGGCAACGCAGCGAGAGTGAGACCAAAGAGAAGCTAGGCTCTCCTCTCTACCTCCCAGCTCCCTGTGTTACTATATATGCAGCTGTGGACTGTGGTTACCATGAGCTAATGTGTGGTCGTGTGGATGGCAAGTTTAAAAAATGTTTAAAGTCACATAAGCCAGCTTTATGCTGTAGAGTATCTATTGTTATGTATATAACTATTCCCCAGGATCTAACAGAGTTGATTCACCTTTTTCTCCACTTGCATGGATGATTACAGGCAAGAATCATTGCATCACTGGACCCCAAGGCTAGTTGGAAACTACCTGGCTCAGTGTCCTCAAGGCTCAAGCTGCTAGCTGCACTGCACAAAAGTAAACCCAAGCCGTAAGTATAGACGGGTAAAATGCGTATTGAAAGAAAAAAACATGGAGAACTGGAATCATGCGATGAACTTTGCAACAGTTCCAGTGCAAGCATGGTGGTGGCATTGCTTTATGACTGCATGGGGTCACATGAAGAACCAACAGCAAGCAGGCTGCTTTGGGATTAAAGAAGAGAAGATAACTGCTAAAGCTTTTGCAGTTGAAAGTTACTCATGCATCACCCGTGCAGCTGCAATTACACAGCCACCTCCACCTCACATCTGCTGAAACTATATAAAAGATGCTTTTACCCTTTCCTTCCTCTGCTGTCCTCCCACTTCTTCCTCTTTTCTTCCTCTTTTGGTACATGTCTTTAAGGGTTCATGACTTCATGTGATTCCATTTAGTGGCCACGTCAACCACCCAACCTTTCCATCTATTTCTCCCATGCCATGTTGCCTAGGCTGGTCACTTCTGCCGTTCTGCGTGTGAAGCAGGAAGGCTACAATAGCATTAAGACATGTCTTGTTTGTGCCAACAACTGTCCACGTTGAACCATGGCTAGTTTTGATTCTTGCGGCAGGCCATATTTGCAAGCTGCTGGCTGGTATTGAGCAGGTATAGAACTATGGGCACCCCATCTCCAAAGTTTCAAGGCACTGTAATTCACCGCATCTACAGTGTAAGAAAACAAAGAATACAGCCATCATCGTACTACAAAAGGTTCCATTGTCATGTCCAACACTAGCAGTGAGAAATAGCGTTTCAGTCTCACCAGGCATATCATGGAGCAAACATTGCTGCCCAATCGCCTCAGATTTTCTGTCTTTTAGAACCTTTTTGCTTCTGCCAGTACCAACACAACAGCCATACGTCATATATACCCAGTATCAGGTCAATGTATTGTACAATCCTGCTTTTTCTCTCACAACCAACATCGCAGAGACAATGCAGCATGAAGAAGTTACTGGGGTATCTCCAATTGGGATTGTGGGAACACTGAGAACACCATATCTTGATAGCAGATCTGCCTGCCAACACAATGTCTGGTCGGTTTGGACAGACCCTTTTGGCAGTTTGCTAGTGCTATCTGACAATAGTTACAACTGTCTTTCGCCAAAAAATATTGCAATTAGCAACTGAGTAATATCATGTAATGTGCATTGGACATTAATGCACCATTAAGATTGTACATCCCTTCTGTAGATTCTGGAAAGATAAGATGGATGTTACAGGTTCAAAACACAGATACATACCAGAACAAACTCGCTAGTCATCAAAGTAACCGGTATAGAAAAAACCACCATGTTCACAACTAACAATGTGGTAACAAAGAACTGACCAAATGAGGGAAAGAAATTAAAATTGAAATGGTCAAGAAAACTATATATGGAAACGCAACCTCCATCCATTAAATAATAATAATAAAAAAACTCAACGTGAGGGGGGCAAGACAGCCCCCGGGATTGCATTAAGATACTATTGATCTCACAAGTTAAGCATATGCATCATCCTATTCAACAGTGTTTATGTATGAAAGAAAAGAATGCAATTACACATACAACTGAATAAACTTGTTAGCTACTCAATCATTTCCAAATTATAAGACGTTTTGACTTTTCTAGATACATGGCTTTTATGTTTAGATACATAGTAAAAACAATGTATCGAGAAAAGTCAAAATATCTTATAAGTTGGAATGGATAACTAAGCATGGATTCAGAGGAGTAATCACATATTCACATTCTACAGTATTGTTTGTCAGTTGATCATTCTCTAGAGCCACAGCCACTTTTTTACTTTAGAGGACGATACCATCGGTAAACACAAGAGAAAAGGTCTCCTACTGTAAAGCACAACCATTGGAATCATTGCCAAACAAGTCCAATTCAAAAAGTATACTGACCAGGGCAAAAAAGTTTTGTTTCCCGCAATCATACCAACACTGTAGGTTACCAGATATCCTTGCCATTGCCTGCAGAAGAGCTCCAGTAATGCATGGCCACCAGGCAGGTCCACACTCCACAAGCAAAAGGTAACAAGACAATAATAGAAGAAAGAAGGGAATATTCATCGGAGGAGTTGTCTAATCAACATGAGCGTGATATAGCTTAAAGCTCACTGTGCATGATATTGAATCGTGGCCTGTGTACTACCACCCAACTTTATTAGTAATCCATGAGTCAGTGTACGGTTGGACCTGGTCCCATAGTAAGGAGAATTGTTTACTTATTAAAGACAAGGATTAACAGTAAAAAAAGGTTAAATAAACTAATGTGGACAGCTTGAGGAAATGGTCCCGGGTCAACAGTGTCTAGAATTTGTTTTAGTGAGGCAAGAATGCGTCTGCAGAAAAAAGACTTAACAGTTAGAATCATTCTGTCATGGGCCAAAACTGTAACCCATAAACAACTCCTTATCAGCACGTTTCCTGACTATCTCTGAGTCAGTGGTCCACACTACACAGTAGAAAGAAGTAGAAAGTATGCAATATGCATTAGATAACAAGAAGGTACGGACAATTACTTGGTCTTCAACTAAAATAAATATGAAGCTACCATATGGAAATATCACTAATGTATATACACAATGTGACAATGATAAACAGTATTAGAATTGTAGAATTCTGAATAACTGAAAGATTTGAACACTGCTAAATAGTTCTTAAGAAGATGTGAAGGAAAAGGTAGTAATGAGTTCCAGAAACACAACAGAGAGTAACGTAAGGTCTTAAGAATCGCAAATGTGTTTATGATTCTTCATATGAAAAAGTATATCAAATAAATGCAGAAACGGTTAAAAAAAAGTAGGGGATTAGGGGGGGTGCAAGGTTTCAGATTGGCAGTTGGAATACGGGGAAATTTGAAATGTCAATTTACTAAAGTTACCACAAATAAAGGGGGTAGGTAGTATTGGTCTCCTTGTCCATTCATAGCTATTCAAATTTGTGAGTTTGATTTCCTTCCAAGAAATTACAACACTGAACACGAGGGCTTGTTTAGAGAGATTTTCTCAGCACATCCTCTTTTACAGTACCAGAATCTGTGGACTATGCGCCCTTTTCAAGGTATATGGAACGACTTGAAGGTGATCTTGCTTCTAGTTCTCTAGGTTGCCAGGCCAACCCATTCAAGGTTCTGTCATTCTGTGGTAGCAGGTTCAAAATTTTTTGCGATTCCTAAGAGATTTTTCATGCAATCATGGTTAGGTACAATTTGTACTCCTAGTATTTGGGGAATACAAGGTACTTCATTACCAGCGCTCCAGCAGCATACAATGTGCATTTGAATCATTAGCCACATTCTGCAAATGCCAATCTACACATCACGTGCGGAAGTGCCTAAGAATAACCAGCAGTGCCGGAAGTGCAAATTTGATTATTAATGTCAGTGACACGCCGGCGGGCGGCGCTGCATTTCCCAACTGGTGGTCGGATTATTTCTCATCACCGAGTTGGGCCGTCCGCGGATTCTCTTTCCAAAAGTAAAGTGGCCGTTCAACAAATCGGGCTTCTACACAACACCCTCTCGAAAGAGAGGAGATGAAATGAAAGGCACTGGGCCGTGCCCATGCTAAGCCCGCTACAAAGGTGGAATGACAGGTCCGATTGGCCTGCTCCGCTGCAGCTGCAGGTTCTCGCCGACTCCCCTCCTTCGACCTTCGCCACTCGCCGCTCGCCGCTCGCCGCCGTCTCCCGACCGCGGCGGCACCTCCTCTCCTCCCACTCTTCCTCGTCGTCGATCTCGTCTCGGTTAGTGTCCTCCTAGTTCCACACCTCTTTGGTGCACTGCACCCGTGTCTCCTCGCACCCGACCAGGGCACGGCCTCCTTCTCCTCAACTTGTGTCGTCGGGCGGCGGGATAATCAGCGCCAGTGGTGGTGGGGTTTTTATCGGTGGACTTGGACCAAATTATCTGTTGAAAACTCTTTCGACTGACCAGACATTCTCTAGGGTTTGGGGGCAGCTGGTTGTTCCCTTCTTACCTCCCGTGTAGCGCGAGTTCGTTATTTCTGAGTGGGGTTTAGTTGTTGAATTTTCGGTTCGATTGCTGGATCCCCTGCTTAATCGCGGTGTTTGTTGCTGTATTTTTCCGCTGCAGGGTACCATGGCGAGAGTACTCTCCACCACCCTCCTGAGGGGACTTATGAGATCGTCCCGCGCATCGACATCAGCTGTAAGGCTCTTGTACCCATTCCGTGACATTAACGGTTTTGTCATCGTTGTCTATCACTAAATGTTAATACCATGATGAGATCGTTTGGCGGAGTTGTGGTGATCTTAGTTTCACACCTATTTCCTTCTGGCTCACTATAGTGCATCAGGGGTATGGAATTGGATTCACAGGAGTTTTAAGCACTGTGTCAGGGTCAGGGGTGTGGAATTGAATTCTCATGATTTTTGTGCAGTCATCTCTATTCTGAGTTTTTACTGTGCGGTTGAGTAATAAACTCTGCAAAATTTTCATTCCAGCGAATTGGTTTAATTCCGAGATTCTAATGAGCAATTGAGCAACTGTTTATCTGTAGTTTTTGGAACTGTAGCCGTCTAATTTAATGTTGTCTCATCAGTAAGCTGGAATCTATTTCCATTAGTCATGGTCTCCATGAGGCAAATGCATCCTATGTTCCATCTAATGAGAATACTAATGGGATGTGGCCAAAACCTTTTTGGTTTGGCATTAGGTGTAATTTGTTGTCAGTATCTTAACTTCTAAGTTGGTTTTGGTCTAGTAAATATCATTCCCTGGTAGCAACTTTCTATTTTTCTACACCTGTATTTCAAACCATTCTATGTGCTTTGTTTGCTGCACATATGAATCATCAGGAACTCATATCTATTGTGACTTAGTATAAGTGTTAAGCTCCTTCCGTGCCCTAGTTGATAAAGAAGTAAAGAACCACCCAACCCCTTGATGTCCTTTGTATGCTGCATATATGAATCATCAGGGAACTCTAGTATGTGTGTTAAGCCGCCTTATGTGCCCTAGTTGATAATGAATCATCAGGGAACTTGTAAGGAGTACATTTTTTTCTCTCTTGCCTGTATGTGACACATATTGTATTAGTTTATCACTTTGCCCACTTTAAGATTGAGCATACTGAGGTGTATGCTGTATTTTTTCTGTTTCTGTTTACCTCCTAATTTTCTTCCTGTATCTTTTCCTTTTTTGCATGGTAACTGGAATTGCAGGCTGTGTCACTACCAGCTATCCAGCAGTTTATGAACTACTCATCAGGTCTTGGCGCTGCTCCTAATGCAAATGGGGACTCAATGGCAACACGAGTAGCTGCTGATCACGATACACATCAAGACTTTCAGCCAACAAGTAAAAGTTCAGACATGTCTTTCAGTGACATTGTTGCTCAGGTATGCATTCTGCTTATTAATAATCTTTCAGAACAATTCTGATTAAAGCATTTAACTTTGACACAAGTACATAATCAGTCAAAATCTGAAGTTTAGTTTCCCACAATAAACACCTTGGCAGGATGTCAAGGAGCACCCTGTCGTCATCTATATGAAGGGTTATCCTGATGCTCCTAGGTGTGGATTCAGTGCATTAGCAGTGAAGGTCCTCCAGCAATATGGTAAGTTGGCTATAAGTGCGGATTGTTTCAAATGCAATTGATAATCAGTTTGCTATGCAAGTTCTGAAGGCAAATCTTGTCTATTGCAGGTGTCCCCATCAGTGCTAGAGATATTCTTTCAGATCTTAAGCTCAAAGAGAGTGTTAAAGCATACAGGTAAGTATCTTGATATAATATTGTGTGTTGTTAGATATTCTGTGGTAACAGCTTGTGTCTTGAAAGGGTAAGAGAACTGGCCTGGGATGGATTATCTCAGTGTTGATAAAGGAAGAGGGCCTGTTTGGGAGGGCTTCTCCCGGCTCTGGGTCCTTTACCCAGAGGAGCCAGAGCCGAAGACAGTTTTTCTAGCTTCACTGGCTTCCAGGACATTTCTAGGAGAGAGATAAATGGCTTCTTGCTACAGTACAAGATTACCTAGAAGCTAGAACCATTTTGGGAGAAGCCTCCCAAATGGGGACATAATGATTTTTAGGTCAACCTAAAGAGCTGAGAGGACAGGCAACTTAATGATTTCTGAAAAAATAAGGGGAAACAGAACTGAACTGATCATTTGTTGAAGTTAAAGGGCGTACCCAGTGCAGAGAGCTCCCACTCTGTGCGGGGTCTGGGGAAGGATGTTAGTGGCAAGCGTTACCCTCGCCTGTGCAATGCGAGGAGACCGCAACTCGAACCCGGGACCTTCCGGTCACAGGCGGTAAGACTACCGCTTGCACCAGGCCCGCCCTTCATTTGTTGAAGTTGATTACTAAAAAAATTTCAGAAGGAGCAAAATGAGTTCAGATACCAAGTCCATATTGATGTTTGGTTTGGTCAAGAATATCATGTCAGAATAAACCTATAGTTAGTAGTGACTAGTAATTATAGTCTGCCCTGTATAATGATGTTATCTTTTCTTTAGTTGAATTGCATTGTACTATGATATATGAATCTGAGATAGATTATATATGATGCATCATTCAGCTGCTTCTTATGCCAGATTCAGCTAATGCTTACACTTTATAAGTTTCAATGTTTACTTTCTTTTGTTTCTGCAGTAACTGGCCTACGTTTCCACAAATATTTATCAAAGGAGAGTTTGTTGGGGGATCTGATATCATACTCACCATGCACCAGGCAAGTGAGCTCATAATCGCTGGTTTTAAACTTTTAATCTAGTTACCGTGTGATCCAGATAACGTTAAACTAATATTGAATTCTTCTTGACACTTTTCTTCAGAAGGGTGAACTGAAGGAACTGCTTGGCGATATTGCACAAAAAGGCGAACAAAGTGGTTCCTCATAAAACAAGTAGTATTTGTGGTGCAAACTTCTCGGACTGGATGTTCCTTCTCAGAAGATTTTAGGTGAACTTGCATTGTCGTCCTGTGGCCTCGGATTTGAATATGTTCTCTGTTTTGGTCTGTTCTTGCCAGTTGTGATGGAACATCCACTCAAAGGCTCAACTGCAGGAGTAACCAAAGTTCTTGTTCTTGATAAATAAATGCCAATGCTTGACGCTGTTCTTTTATGCATCTAGCTGCCTGCCTTAGCTTGAGCTTGGGTGATTTAAGTTATTTTTTTTTTAACTGAACGGTGCTGTTGAAACATGTAATTAGTACGTGACATGCTTATACGCTCTATGTTTCGTTCTTTTTTGGCAGCAACTTTGTTTGCTTTGTCCTACCCGAAACAGATGTACTGCTTTGTTCCACCAGAGCTCATCAGCATGCGAGATGTAGCAGGCTTGTACTCGTTTGTGCCTGTGTTTACACTAGTCATATATGCAACCGTAATGGCAGGGGAGTAGCTGTTATACAATAGACAAAAAATCATTCGAGACCATGCAGACCAAACACGGTACAACCTTTGCAGGACATCTCCATGGCACACGGAGAAAGCAAAACATCACAATTCCAAATCAGAAAACGGAATATTTGGAACAAACATTATCCATCATGCCACAACCAAATCAACGTAAACCAAAATATGGAAATTATAAGCGTACATCATTCGCAGACACGTCTGCGTGAAGAAAAGCTAGAACATGGCCGTATACCCAAGCCCAAATTTGCTATTAAACCATTTACCTCCCTGGAACAGACACCGGTATTATTTGGACACCGCCACAGCAAGTCTTTCTTGCAACATTTTCCAATCAAGATGACTTAGTGCCGAGCCCCAAATTTGCTGTGAGCCATTTGCAAACTTCATCCATCTCCTCTGGAACAGTGTAGTGCCCAAGACTTCAAGGAGAGTAATCATCATTAGAAAAGAAATATAGAAAATTGCAACTTAAGTAAAGCGTAGCTGAATTGGGGAGATATAAAACCTATTGTATGACTTGAAGAGCACATTGGAGAAGCCATTTGCCTTCAAGGCATCAGCAGATCTCTCCCCGTGCTTGTAGTAGACTACATCGTCAGCTGCATAAAATATTGAAATAGAACATAAATTACTGAAGGTGGCAATTTGTCCTTTATTTATGGATGGATCATCAGAAATAACTTTTTATGACATTTCAAAACAAGAAAGGGAGGACTGACTGACTTTGTACTAGTAGTGTTTTCCTTATGCGTCATGAAATCAAATTTATATCATTTTCAAGACACGAAATAAATATTGTGGTCCTGTTAGCTCTTACATACATAGAGAAGGAAGTGGCACAAGTTTTCTGATAGGCACAACTACAAGTATAAACAAAGCAGCACTCTTTGAATTTCAAGCATGCTGCATAAAACCAACCCAAACATTTCAACGGACCATTAAATCTGCTACAGGGAAAAAAACCGTAATGTTGTTACCATCCTAAATTTTTTAGAAACATGTATGGTCATTCCTGCTTTGCACAGTTGCATTTGCACTAGAGAGGCTACTACCCTCAGCAGAAATATGACAGCTTGTTTTCTAATGGATCGTGGGTGGTGGTCTAGGCTAGCCAGATCAAGATATATAGTAGTTTGCATTGCAATATGATATGGTTCACGCACACAGCTAGTGTTGATATGAAGTGTTACAAGCAAGATGGACTCATTAGCTAGCCCCCCTTTCTTTGCAGTGGATAACAATGCATGTCATAATTAAAACTTGGTTTATCATGATATATTATGCCTTTACGATGGTCGTGTACAAACACCATACTGTCTCCAGGTTGAATGTTAGAACTTAGAACCCTCCGACAAACAAACATGCTTATATCAAGCCAAGCATAGAACTATGATAGAAATTTGGCACGTTAAGATAAACACAGATATGCACCTTTTCCATGACAGAGCAAAAGAGGTATTGATGAAGCCCTTTCTGCAGCCTCTGGTGAGGCTTCAATTCTGTTCTTCAAGGTCCTGGATGACCAGAAATCATATACATCAACAAAACCCAAGCATTTTCACTAAAACATATACCACACAATATCATAGGAATAGGACAAACCTGGCACATGGAAGCCAGCCACTAAGACCAACGGCAAGACTTAGGTTCACAGGGTATGGATTGCCATTCCCATATTTTCCATGAGCAAAGCAAGTTGCTGAGTACAGAGCAGTAGCAGCACCCATACTAAAGCCACCAACACCAAGTTTGACTGCAATTATTAATGGAGATTGGAGCACCAAAGATTACCAAGATAGTTCAATGTTCATGGAAAAGATCTAGAGTTTTTTTTTGAGTCACCAAATTAACATGTTAGAATAGCCTATTTCTGAGAGCACACACATGCTCTTTAGAAGAAAAAAAAACAAAGTTTCACAAAGTGTATAGAACATATTTAAGAAGCACGCCCGATAATGGAACAGCGGGTACCAAAAAAACAACAAAAGCAATATGAACAATCTTGCTAAGATGGGCTGAAGAAAAGAAACAAACAACCAAGTTATCTCATCGAACAAGAAAGGGAGGGGGGATGGGAACCATACTGTCAGCAGGTTCAGTCGACAACAAATTCGCAACATGTGCTGCTGAGGCATCCATCCCCTCAATGTCATCAGGAGCATCCTCAGAAAGATCAGCAACATCAAACCCTGCAAATCCAGAAAGGGCACAGCAGTAAACATGTATTACGTATAAGACAGATAATGATGAAAGGATCTGATAACATTCTTAAGCAGGAAGAAAGATGTAGATAACAAAAAACCTACATGCTGTGGAGGGGAACCCGCCAAACACTGACACAGGTCTTGAAGGTGCAGTAGGGCATATCCATTTTATCTGAGCAGAGCAAAGATACACAAAGGGATATCGTATTGGATTTCAGCAACAAGGTGCAAGGTTAAACCACCACAAGAAATTAAACCATTGCATATTTGGAATCTATATCCTAACTTACATTAGGAAGGGGAAGAGTTTCCAGTAGTTGAGACCAGCTGCAATGTAACACAAATACATCATTGGTGACAGTAGCTTCAAATTCTATAATACAGAACTATCCTTCGAGGAAGCAACAGTCCAGCATCATTATGTGAAAACACACAGCATCCTAGTGAGATGTCCATAACAATAAAGAAATAACAATGGTGTGATTTCTTTGGTGCACTAACTCCCTCATCAGTATTTACTCGATCACATGATTCAAGCATTCAACATTCCAAGCACACAACAAACAGATGTTGATAAACTTATATTACAAACAATAAGATATGGATCATGAGATTTTCTGCGCTAGCACTATCTACAGTTAGTTCATAACATCTGGAGAAGGTACCGAGCTTATGGACATGGTTCATTACTTCATCATCTATTTAATCTAAGCACACCAAACTCCACAAGCACAGCATTAAAGTACAGGTCAGTTGAGCAGGCGGATTCCATACCTGGCTCCATTGTCCCCAAGGCCGTGGAGCCAGACAATGGTGGCCTTGTGCGTGCCCTTGGGCCTCACCACATGCGTTCTCCCGTACTCAAACGGCCTCTTCGCACCTGCATTCAATGCATATTCATTCCTTTACAAGTCAATCTCACCTTAACCCCCAACGGCATAAAATAGAAACCGTGCACCAATCACCAACGAAGCCACAACAGCGATGAAACCAAGGCGTACCTGATGCGAGGGAGCTGCTGCCGCCGAAGCTCATCCCGCGAACAATCGCCGCGCCTCCACACCCCCTCCTCGCTACAAGGCCCGCCAACGCTGCAATCCCAGCAACAACAACGACGACGACTCAGCAGCCGACCAGCGGCCCAGCGGGAGCAGATAAAGGGCGACGCAGTGCGCGCGTGCGTACGAGGGAGCAGCGGCGGGGCTTGGCGATCGGGGAAAAGGCGGATTTGGGCGGCGGAAAGGGGTGCGCCTTTTTGGGTGGCGCTGGTGGGTGCGGGAATCTGCAGGAGACCGCAGGCCCGCAGCGCAGGAAGGCAGGCAGGCAGGCGCCACCTCCACCTCTCTCTGCGGAGAGCTCCACCTCTGTGCCACGCCACATGAGCAGCGCGTGGTGGTGATGGCGGTGTGGTGGCAGGCAGCCAGCCAGGCACGCGCCAAAGATGGAACAGTAACTGGCGGCACGGATTCGGAAAAGCGGTCGCCCAGTTGAGGGAGGAGAGAGAGAGAGGGAGGGACCAGGGAGGGAGGTTGGGATTCGCGAACCTGCCGGCGACGAGGTGGTTTTGCAGCGGAGCGGAGGAGGAGGAGGTCGTCGTCGCGGGGCGGGGCGCCGGCAGAGGCGACAGGCGAGCTCGTTCCAGTGGCCGTCCGGATCCGCTCGTGGGGGTTGGTCGGTCAGTTACTCAGTTCTGTTGTGAGTTGTGACCACTGACTTGTGCGGTGGGTTGTTCGGTTCGGGACTGGGCTATTTGGATTTTGGGGGCCTGGGCTCGAGGGCCTGCTGAACAAAATACCGAGGCTACGTTTGGGCACCGTGTGCTACGAGGCCCTCAGGCCTCAGCCGATCCTTATTATATAAAAAAAAGAGTCTTTTTTCGCCTGAGATAGTGATGGTTCATATGTGCCAGTACTTTTTTTCGAACGTCTACTATTACTGTCTTTTTAATAAGTTGTCTTGCATACTAGATAGTGATGGTTCATATGTGCACTGTGCTTGTTGCTTAATAGTATATCTTAGTGTTTATGAACAATTTTATCTGACTAAAAAAACCTTGAACCTCCGTATCGTTAATTGAGTCCCTACAATTATAGAAACTAATGTCAAACTAATAACAGGTCCAGCCAAAACAAGTAAGAGATACATGGAGTATAAACTCCGTTCTTCAACAATAAAATCATTGAACAGTTAACAGTTTGTATGGTCCACATTTGGCTCAAACTTTGTCAAATATATGCGCCTTTTCTCATTCTAGGTTACTACAGATGGCATTGCCGCCTTAGTGTAGGGCCCAATTTTTGCGAGGATTCGTGGTGTCCTGTTCTTATTAATGGTTCCCCTCACTATCGCAGAGCTGGATGCTTCCCCAGTTTTGGAGTTCACCTCAGCTTACATGGTGCACTAAGTCACCCTCAAGCAGTCTTGGCCTCTGAGCACGTAGGCAGAAGTTGATTTATTTGGTCTACATTCTCAACTTACTGCAGTTTCAGTTTTTTTATCGTTGGAGGCGAACCAGGAATCATTTAAAAATGCTTTTGCCTGCGGCAGTTGGTTGAGTAGAGAACACCATATAATTAGCAAGCTATTTTTTTAATGTTCCATTTGTACATAGCTGTTTGGTAAAAGAAATGTTTTACATGAGTTGCTTATGCAGCGAAAAACTTCCTTGGGTGGTACTAAGGATTGTTTGCTTCTTACCTGATGTGGTGCGCTGGAATGGGTCCAATCTTAAGTCTCCATAATACGCTTTTTCATATTGCTGTTAAAATATGTGACATTTTTACGCAGTGGATATCTGATGCGGTAGTAACTTCTACTACAGTCTTTGCCAATATAGAATGTGGTCTCCCGGATGTTTAGAATGCATTTGTAACTCAATTCTTATCCTATACAACTACATGTAAGTTTTCCTGAAAAAATCGGTTCGGTTTTCCGGTTTTCGTGTATCGGGCTGATTTGTCTAAAGATGTAGCCGTTTCTCTTTACAGATGGCCCAACCTGCAATGTTGAATGCTTTGACACAGAATGAGGCTTCAAATTCCACCTTTGCTTTCTCAATCATGGGAAACACCTGATTTTGCAAATTGCTAATTCATCACTTGCAAGCTGCTGCTAATTCATCGGCGAAGGGATACAAAAATCGAAACTCGTTTTACTAGCTACTCATTGCTGCCTTATCATGATCATGATAGCAGTATGTCTTTAGGGTACTTTGTTACGTTGACTTATCTTTAATAGTGATGCTTTTGGCCCCGCTCGCTTCGCTGAAAAAACAAGCCGAAATACTATTCCGGCTGAAAAAACAAGCTAAAAAAGACGAATTATAAGAAAAGCGAACATTGCCTTTGTTGTCCAATGAACTATAGCATTAGTCTGTCTGGCCACCATTCGTTGATAAACGTATTCATTTAAGTCTAATTTGAAGATCTCAACCTAACATATGCTTTCTTCTATACCTGCCACGCTTTCTTCGTCCACGCGCGTGAGGGCGTGCGCTTTCTACTAGTATCTATGTGTCGGGTTCATAAACCCGGGGTCCCTCGCAGACCGGCTTTCCAACAAAAGGCCCGGCCCAAGCAGACAGCGAGCAACTCATAGACCAGCCCAAGTATCTGAACAAACAGGCTAGGAGGGCGATCCAATCACCAACCGGAAGGTCTGTCCGATGAGGAGCGGCACCCGTTTTCCGCCTCCGGCCCACCTCACCGACCGGAGCGCTCGCTCCGACTCCAGCCGATTCCGGACAGCCTCTCCGACCGGAAGGCCTGGCCCAAGCACTACTTCTGACTCCGACCCCATGTCTCCGACTGGGGTATGCAGAAGCCCTGCTCACCGCTCTTCTTCGACTGGCGCAACCAGAGCCGACTGGGACCAACCGACCGGAGACGCCCGCCCGGAAAGGACTAGGGAACGAACTGAGAAAGCAAGGCAAGGCGCTCAAAGTCAAAACCACGCTCCTGCCACTCTCCACGAACTCCCGGATGATGAGGGTGAGAGCGACGGCTCCAGCATCGGCGACGTGGCACCTCGCCATCGTCCGTCCCGGGAGTGCGCTATGGCGAACGCTCTGGGACAGCCACCGGTGGTTGTGGAATCTGCGCAGACTCACACCACTCCGGACCCGTGTGCGGGGGCCCTCGCGTCTGCGCAAGCGCACGCCGAGGAATTACGACAACGGTGGCAGAACCAGCCGCCGCCTGCACTGGCGCATTCGGTACAGCACGTTGCGCCCCATGCGCATGGCCCGGCAGGTGGCGCCCGGGGTCACGCCGGTTAGGTCCAACACAACATCATGAACGAGGGGAACGATCTCCCACAATTCGCTGGGGCTGGCTAGAACATCGCTGCTGCGACAATGCTTCTGTGCGGTGTTCCCGAGCCCGTCGACCCCTAGGAGCGGGCAGTCTACCGAAATCTCCGGGTTCTAGTAGAAACCGCCATTGTTCAACAGGCGAAAAGCTCCGCATCATGAATCCGACACGCGCCCTCTCTCCCCACCGGGGGAACGGGGATGCGCTAGACGGATCGCTCCATTCGCTCGCCGCTACAGCCGCCAGGCGCGGCTCGGGGGGCGGCAGCCGCGCCACGGTCCGACCTGGCGCCTGCTCCACATCGACCGCCGGTACACGAGTGGCCCAGTCCGCACCAGGATGCTCGCAGCATCGTCAGCAACCGACATCAGGCCCGGCACGATGATGATGTCCACCGGGCAGCGGCAAGAGCAGGCGACATGGATCCTGGCTGAACCATTGAGGGGAACGGTGAAACGTGCCCTAGGCACGGTCGTCGACCGGACGACCGGAGTCCTAGCCCTGAGGGTCCGGGGCCACGGGCCTTTGTCCGGCGTATCCGGAGAGCGCCGTTCCCACAACGCTTCCGACCGTCCACCAACATAACCAAGTACACCGGGGAGACAAACCTCGGTATTTGGCTCGAAGATTTCTGACTCGCCTGTCGAGCCGGAGGGGTGGATGATGACTATTTCATCATTCAGTATCTCCACATCTGTGTGGGGGAACATGTTCGGGCATGGCTTGAATTCCTCCCACACGACAGCATCCGTGACTGGGCGGACCTCAAGAGGGTCTTCGTCGGGAATTTCCAGGGGACGTATGTCCACCCTGGGAACTCCTGAGACCTCAAGAGTTGCCAGCATGAGCCCACCGAATCCCTATGGGACTACATCCGTAGGTTCTCCCAATGATGCAACTCCCTCCCTGATGTCGTCGATGTAGACGTCATCAGCGCGTTCCTCTCTGGGATGACCTACGAGTCCCTAATCCACAAGCTTGGATGCCTGAAGCCCCGTACCACCCACGACCTGCTCCACATCGCCACTAACCACGCCTCCGGCGAGGAAGCGGTCGAAGCGGTCTTCAACGGAGGCCGGGACAAAGGCAAGGCCAAGCGCATGGACCAAGACGAGGGCCCCTACACACAGAGGGGCAAGAAGAACAAAAAGGATCAGCGCTGACCGAACAACACCGCGTTGGTTGCCGCAACTGACCGCACGGGCAAGCAGCCCCAACAGGGCCTGCCTGACCACTTCAACAAACTCATGGATAGCCCATGCACCAACCACGCTTACCCCATCAAACACCTCTACAGGGACGCGAGCTCCTCAAACATTTCCTACGACAGGCCGGTGGGCCGAAAGAAGGGGACGACAAAGAGGCGGCGACCAAGAAAGGAGGCACGGCGGGCAAGGACGGAGACGGTTTCCCCGACGCCGATGAATGCATCATGATCTTCAGTGGATCCGACGTCATCTGGTCCAAGCGCTAGCACAAGGTACGCTATAGGGAGGCATGCGCCACCGAGACGGCCGTCCTCTCCTTCCTCAGCTGGTCAGAATCTCCGATCACCTTCGATCAGAGGGACCATCCCTCCCACGTCGCGAGACCGGGACGCTACCCACTCGTCATTGATCCCATCATCCGCAAGAAGCGCCTCACCAAGGTGCTGATGGACGGAGGCAGTGGCCTCAACATCCTCTACGTCGACACCCTCGACGCCATGCGCATCCCCCGATCGGA